TCAAAGTGTCAAATTTAGAGGCTACAAAACTCTCTGATGAAAATGAGTCATAAATACCGTAAAACTAAAGAGAGCTACGATGAGCATCGCGGACGCTTGAAAGCCCTTGAAGTAAGAGCGAAAACCATTCAACTAAAACATGACTTACGTACGCCTTTAGAATGAAGAAAACATGAATGAGTCTGTTCTGAAAGATGAAGAAACGAAAAGTGTTACCTTTTCAAAGCACATCCAAGAAGTTGAGGATCATTTGAGAGAGATTCGACTGAGCAACGCGCGGCTAACAACTGAGCTGGACAGCATCCGGTCTGAGATTATACAAGTGAAATCTCAGTTGCATGAAACGGAACAGCAGTTGGAAGAAAACTTGGCTAAAGAAGCTTCGCTTAACCGACTCATCTCCAACCTAATATCAGAAGTTGAACGAGCTAAAACGAATGTTCTTCAGACGCAAAAGATTTTCGCAGAACAGGAAAATCAACTGAAGCTCCGCAGGATCGAAGAGATGAAAACGAGCGCCATGGTAGTTCAATCTCGCAAAGAATTGGAGCAGCTGAAACGAAGTTTCAAACCTAAGAGCATCTGGTAAGTTTTATTATTGATGTTTCATGAAAAGGGAGAAACCGTTGTTTGGTCTGACATCCTCTAATATTTCCTGGAAGGCAATAAACTGTTTTTCCATGAAAACAGCATTAAACATGGTCTATTTATACACAACAATATAAGAAGCTTCCACGGGAACAGTAACGAAAATGGGAGCTTACAATTCAAAATTGCAACATATCGTCATTCAGGGGGGGTAAGAGCTAGAGCTACTGACGACACAACATGGTACCAACTCGATATACTTGGAATCTAGACAACGAGACGCCAAGCATCTGGAATTCTGAACCTCTGCGGGTTGAAGCTATTCTACTCTGGTGTCGATACCACGATGCCCGCTTGACCACGACCATGAAGCAGGTGTTGGTGTTCTGGTAGAACTGAACCTGGCTGGCAGAATCACGAAATGGAAGACTGTCAGTGGAAGAGTGGCAGTCCTCTGACTGAAGCAACAACCGACTAAAGCGTTGACCTTGTTACAAGTTTATACGCCCAGTTTGGAGGTAGAATGGAAATTCTTCTTTGGGAGAGTGGAATATATTCAGTACAATGTGCTGACTACCAAGTCCATCGTTATCGACTTCAATGCACTTGCCGAGAAGACAGCGAAGAGTGCAAAAGCGTGATTGAAAAGAACAGCACTAGCAATCTCAACAATAGCGGTATGAAACTGTTATGCTTTGTGCAAACAACAAACTGTTTATTATAAACACTTTCTTTAAGCATCGATGCGTGCATCATCATTCTTTACATAGGGAAACTTGTGCTCAGAAGTCAATGATCGATTTGATAGTCGTATAGTCTGACTTAAGACGCTCAGTAATGGGTATTCGCGTTAAGAGAGGCGAAGAACTATCAACTGATCACCACCTTGCTATTGGCAAGCTCAGCAAGAATTGGAGTACCATACGAAGACCTGGTGGCATGAGTGAACAGAGAATGAAATGGAAAGCATAATCATCCATGGATATTAGGACGAAATGTGTAAACAACATCGCACGACGGCTTGAATAGGTTTCAGCGATGACCACTTATGTGGAAACCGAGTAGAAGCTGTTTAAGTGGAAGTGGAAGCTTACTCGGGGCTTTGTGGTTACAAACGGGTTGGCCCGTCATCTGCTGGTCAGAAACGAACTTCCTGGTGGACAGAAGAGGTCAGCTGGCGGTTAAAGGGAAGAAGGCTGCATTCAAGAAATGGCTTGGAAGTAAAGAGCCTTCAACTAGCATGCAGTATGTAGAAGCGCGTAAGGTGGCAGCGAAAGCAGTGGCGGAAACCTAGGCTAGTTCTTGGGGAAAAGTTGTAGGAGTGAAATTTCCAGATGGCAGACAAGGTATTCTGGCAGGCCATCCGTCGGCTGCGTGGTGAAAAGATGGGCAGTT